GGGGGGGGGGGGGGGGGGGGGGGGGGGGGGGGGGGGCATGTTGACGTTCCTGTGACGTTGCATATGTATGTATATTTCTGTGCATGTGAATATTTTTTCTCGGCAAAACAGTTTTCATTACTGTGTGAGCATTGCTGCCTTCACGATGCATTTCATGTTTTTTAAACCTGTTTCGAGCGGTGGCATGTTCTGGAATGTTTGTGCGCGGATAAATTGTTTCTTGCTGCTGGTTGCGGCTCTCAGGATGAATCAGTTTTTCTGCATTGCACTGTGCCTCACTTATATTCTTCTCTTGCGGATCGCCCGTTTTCCACGTCCTCTCATTTCAGGTTTCGAATCTGTTCTCGAGGTTTTGTGGGAATCTCCCATCCTCTGGTTGGACGACTTTGTGAAAAGGTTCCGATCGAATCGGTGAACATGTGTGTTTTCTCAGGTTTTTTCGTGTTTCAAGCGAATTTTGCTCCAAGTTTTGGACACAGAATTTCCGATTTACAAGAGGTTCCAAACCCTCTTTTCCATTGTTTTTTGCAGTGGATTTGCAACACCTCTGAAGTTGGCGTGCTAAAACGCACGCGCGGTTTTAGATCCGCCGGGTTGTTTATGATCAACTCCAGCAAAATGGGGCCATTGACTTGTATAGGGCATAGGGAAAATCAGAAATCACCTCACCAGGTTTCAGCTCGGTTGCATGGCTGCTATTGGACTCACCAGTCACTAGAACTGGTCCAAGCGAATCTTCACTAGGATGGAATTGGTAGGTGATACTCCCAAGTCATAAAGGTTCAACTGTGATCCCACCAACCGAAATACGCACACCTTGAGCCTTGACTGCCCTGTGGCCCCGTGGCCTCCTAAAAGACATGACCAGGACCTCCCGTTGCAAGCAGCAAACCTTTTCGGACCACCTGGGGGAGGGCCCCTGCCGATCTGCACACCGCCCCTGCGCCTCTCCGGTCCGCGCCCCGGAAACGCGCTGCTGGCCGTCGCTGTGGCCGCCAGGCGCGCCAGCGGCGGCCGGCGGCGGCTCACGATGGGGGAGCCGTCCACGTGGCCTTCCACGAGCGCGTTGGGCAGCCATGCCTGAAGTCTGAAGGAAGAGAGGGGGGTTCACCCTGGGATTCAAAACCACCATTGTTTGGTCTGAATATCGAAGAACCATTGTTTTCTGTTACTAAGGATTTTGCCACTACAAAACCAAGAACTTCCCATTTTGGAAATGGTCCAACGGACTCCCAGGGTTCATATAGAGTCTTGTACTTCGAGGGAATCAGCCGTAATCATCAGAGAAATGGTGTTTCTATGTGTTTCTATGTGTTTCTTGATTCATTTGGGCACTCAAGTGACATCCCCCCCAGCTCCTCACCTACAATACATGCTCTTCGTTTCCATATGAACGCTCTTATTTTCCACTTGCTCGCTCTCTCGCTCTTCCCATCCACCACGGTACCGACACCAGCACGGCCGCAGGCACCGCGGCGCTGAAGCGGAAGCGCCAGCGCTGCGCCCGCCAGGCCGCGGCCGTCCCACCGGGAAGCGCGCCGCCGTGGAACGCGCTGCGCGCGTCGAGCGTGATGCCGGACGTGCCGCAGGTCCACCTCACTGCCACGGAACCGGCCGCGGCACCGCGTTCTCCGCGCGAACTGGAGCGAGGAAAAAGGAAGAAGAACGACGCGGAACCGTGAGCTCGCCCAGGCGTTTTTGGCTTGTTCGGCGATTCTCCGGGCCAAAGCTCGAAGCGGAGCGACCGCTTTTTCCGCTTCATGGAAGAAAAGGGAGGTCAAGAGCTGCGGTTTCATGGTTCGAAGAGGAGTCGCCAGAGGACCGAGCGATCTATTGAGAAACTGATTTTGATGTTTGGACAACATCGAGCATCTTTCTGTGTTTAATGGATGTTTGTGGATGTTGGTCTTGGACGGCTAAGGGAGGATAACTGGATACGCATCGTTGATACTTTGAGCCACTCGGTCTACTTTGAGATCACCTCTGGATGGGTTGTACGCATCGTTGAACAAACAGTTCGCCTCCATGCAACGTGCCCGAAGCTTTCGAAGGTGTTATGCTACCTGAGCCCCGACGCCGCCCCAACGTGCTGAGATGCCGAGCAACATAGATCCGTCACTCGCACCTGATCCGTGGCCACCGCACTGGCCCAACATGCTTGAATGTCCAACGTGGTGGGACATGTCTTAAGAAACCAACTCCTTTGGAAAGGCTGAACAAACTTGGCTGGCCAAGTTTTGACAGGTATACGGTATAGTCACACCTTTCTTGGGGGTCTGATCTCTCAATGACCCTTTGGAAGGCCACTTCATAAGCCTCTACTAAGGCAGTCACGTAAGAAGCGCTTCAGCTGGACCCCCCTCTCTCGGCCGATTGAGGCGAGACAAGGCGCCACATGCCACGAAAGGGCCTCCCTCTTTGCTTGCCACCGCCACCAGCTGTGCCGGCGGCGACAACAGCAGGTGTGAGCGCAGCGAGACTCCCTGAAAGTTCAAGTCCTCGGCCGGTTCGAGGAATTGCACGCTTAAGCTTCACTGGGCAAAACAAGAGAAAGACTGCACCCTGTAAAGTGATTTCGAACAACGCATCAATGTCGTGTACAAGTGGTTTCTCATTGTCGTCTAACTGTTCCCTAGACTTCCAAGACCATTAATGGTGACCTGGTTTTGTAGTGTAAAAACACTAGTTGGTTCGGGATTCAGCCTAAAAATGGTGTGGTTGGAAGCCAAACGGGTGTTCGTATTTCACTCTCCAAATACCAGCAAAGATCGCCTGGATGGAGCCACTGTGTCTTGGAACCTGTGGAACATCCGGTCTTGATCATGTTCTGGCGATGTTCTTCCAACATGCTTGACCTGGTACTTAACAAGGTACTTTTACCACCTCTATCTCATGCAACCACCCCATAAATCATCATAGATCGCGGGTCAGAGCTCTAGTATCTCTATGTCAAATGCATTGGACATCATTCCAAAACTGTTGGGTCTACGATGTCCAAGGCTCCCAAAGCCCCGGGACGCCAGTGCCATCGCTGGACGCCGACTCGACGGTGGATGCGTCCGCAAGCGCCGGCGGCGCGGGCGCGGCCCGGCGCCATCGGCCGTGACGGTCCGAGTGGGGCAAGCCCGAGGACCTTCGAATGGGTCGATCGAAGCGTCCGGAGATGACAGGGCGTGAGCTCTCTCGTCCAGTTGGACGATTCTTGGCACCCAAGTAAAGGACATTCCAAACCTTCGGATCACCTAAAGAGCGTATTGTTTTTTGTTTTTGTTATGGTCTTGGACTCCCAGGGTACACAAGCTATGCTAACACCTCTCGCTGAGACGCTTTGGTCACAGGGATCTCGGGTAGTTGGTCCACTTTGATCCATTTCTGCTTGGAATGAGCAGAGAAATCTGTTGCGTGGAGAAATGATCTTTCATGGCCTCCAACCTAATAGCACAATGCTTTTCATGTTCAAATCCATTTGAGTGATTCATCCATGGATCTCTGGTCTCGTCATGCGAGGGATTCTTGTGAAGTCTTGACAGCACCCTAGAACACCTGGATCTGGTCCTCCCTAGATCACTCCTGGCGCCTCTCCCTTAGGAATAAGAACATTGAAAGGGCTGGGAGTCTGAGGGCCATCAAGGGCTGTGGTCCCTGGTCTTCTCTCCAAGCTTTATCCTCCAGCTCCGCTGGATAAAGACAGTAGCAGCATGTAGCAGCTAAGCAATCAACATGGACCAGTCGAAGGGGCCTTCCTGTTCATTGCCTGATTAGCAGATGCTACACATTCAAGTGGCCAAGCAGCCAACCATTTGCCATCCCATCCGGCTGTGCCCCATTTCTCAGATCCAAGGTGCAAGAAGTAGGTGAAGTAGAGGCAGCAAAGCCCACAGAAGATTCTGAGTGCGAGCCGGGACCGATCATAGACCGGCACACACAACGACGTCGGAGGCGGGGACAACCTTCCTTGGATCCAGACACGTTCGAAGGGCTGACAAATGAATTAAGGGTGGAAAACCCCTCAGGGGCGACGTGGATGGCATGGTCCCGAAAGGAAGGTCACGTTTTCCTCTACAAACAGGGGGGTAGTGTCACCCTACATAAACCCACTTCCATGGTTATTACCAGGGAGAGTAGTTGTTCAGTGACACTGCCCATGCAACAACTGCCCAACATCCAACGGCTCGACGCAGACGACGCGACGACGCTCCCGGAGCACGTTCTGAGTCGACCACTGGACCGGACCCTCGGTGGGTATACCTGACCCCGAGTAGGTCCAAGACCCTTTCAGCTGAGCCATTCCTCGTTCGGTGCCTCTTGAAGGGGGCGGCTAGAGTTATATAACTATCCCTTCTTTTGCTGCCTGCTGAACCAAGTTTTCTCTGCGTGGCTT